CAGGAAGATGAACACAGTTCATTTCTAATGAATATACAAACCAAGTTCTAGGAATTTCTGGTGACAGAAACTGGGAAATGGATTCTTTTGATCCTTTATTGTACTTGAGGCTCTTTAGAAAACCGTAATTGTTTTATCTCATCGGGATTAGCAATGTGATGACTGCAGAATGAGAATCCTCCTGAGGGCTTAATGCACGTTATCCAAATATCTGACTGCAACTCAGTGCATGCTGTCCTACTGAGAGGTTTTAGAAAGCCTGACTTTGCATGAGGGGGAGAAGGGGCCTTCAGATACAAGCAACCAGAAGCTGCCTGCATCTGCTGCCAGAACAGACAGGAGCATAATGGACAAATGTAGCCCCATTACTTTTCCTATAAAAATGTTTAGGCATTATCATTTATAGAAAAAGCAAAAGTTAGCACAGCCTTTGAAGCAGTATTTTAGGAGGTTTTTCAATCTTCACCTTTTGCCTTTCAATAAGGGAGATTTTTTTTGTTCATTTCCTAGCCTGCACATTTCTTGAGGAATTTAGAAAACTGATTGGAGGGATGGGGGAAATGCTATAAGTGCACAAATGGATTGAAGATCTTATGTTCACCAACAAAGGTTCAGACACTAGATTCCTATTTAAGGCTTATTTTTCAGCACTGAAAAAGTTACATGGTGATACCTGAAGAATTAAAACCAAAAACAAAGCAAACAAACAAACAAAAAAACCCAACAACTCAGCAGTCATGCAGAATATAGAGCACTAGAAGCCAAAAGGAAAACTTCAGTTGCTATTAGTAGGTTTAGAATCAAGCTCTAGAGGTTATGTTTGTGCTTCAGAAAGCACCCCATCAATTTTGGTAAACAGTTTCTAAGATACTTTGTTCCCCATGAAAAGCAGGCTGGTCTCTGAGCGTGGCTCTCCCCTCCCACTGGCAAACCTCAGCCTCATTTCCACTGAAGTCATGATACTAAATCAGCCTAATGAGATGGATGAATCAGTCCTTTGGTCCTCAGTTCCATTTTGCACTCAATCCCAAACGCTAGCACTCAGCTTGCAGGAAATCTTGAGACTACGCGTTTCAGAGTGCAGGCAGAAAACAGTGATTATGGTCAGATGTGTTTTTGCTCAAACTTAGGAAAGCATTTGATTGTTTGCTGTTAGAGGAATTGCTATGTCATCAGACAGGCTACAGGGCATGCATGTAAAATCTAGATCCCTTATTTCTCTCATAAAAAGTTATGTTCAGCACAAGCAGAAGCGAAATGAAATGAAGCTCTACTGACAGGACAAGTCTGGGCAGAGTTTAATGTTTAGGAATTTAGCAACATAAAGCTCATTATAATCATATACTTCTACAGATAGACTATTCATGTGTCACATGTTTGGGCTCACTTTAGATAATGTCATTCTAAATTATGCCACTGCAAAAAAATCTATATTATTAGAAAGACAATGAATGTTGGAGAGAAAATAATCTGGATAATGAAGAAATGGATGTCTTCTAGGATATATTAACTTATTTTTTAAACAAACTGCTGCATATAAGAGTTCTCTAATTCAATAAAGAACATAAATCACAAGGACTAACAATCCTCCAGATGTTCCAAATTGAAGTTACACTCACACTGAGCTAATACATTCATTTTGGCTTCCCGCTGGATCTTGCCTAGCCCCTTCATACAAAGCGTTCAAGCTAGGACTACGAATAGCACCTCCCTCTGCTATGAACAGAAGAGGCTGCTTCTTGTGGTGTGTGACAGGGATCATGCTTCCAGTGTACTGGCCGTGTCCCCAGAAACATGGAGGAGGCCCCCCTGGCAGGACCAGAAGAAAAACTGTCAAAGAACAGGCAGAAATCACCTCCTGCTCTTCCACCACCACTGTTCAGGCTGTGCGGGCAGCACGCACTGGTGCAGGTCACACCACACACCTCTCCTTACCCACACTCTCTCCTGCTGAGAGGACATCTCCCACCCTTAGAGCACCAGATAACTTGTCTGACTCCTGGGGTTCACGAGAAATGCAGATCTAAGGGAAGATGACAGCAGCTCTCCATGCTGCATTGTGTGTGTGCATATACTTTAAATGTGCTACACACAAGACTCTGAAGATTAACTGACTCTATAAATGCACTAATTTATAATTCAGCAGCAGCAATGATGCAAGGCACTCTATAACTCATACTTGATGGCCTTTGCCTAGAGACAAGTATATGCAAGGAGCTGACGGCTATCAGAAAGGGCAGTGGCTAAAGCAGAACAAATGCTGATTTACAATAGAACTTGTTCTGAAGGCAGAATGTGAATGTAAAGCAAAATTAGTCCTTCACTTGAATAATCACAAGATTTAGTCCCTCCAGTTTTAATGACATCCTCAGATACACACTACAGTTGCTATAAAATTAGTTACTGTACATAAGCACAGCCATGGTAATTTCTTAAGTTCTCTACACCTAATGTTTTCTTGTCATTTTATTGTTTCCAATTTTACCTTAAAAATCAGTTAAAAAAATGTTTAATTGATCCTGCTTTACTCTCTAAAAAGCCTCCAAGTGCCTACAAGTCTCAGTGTTCAGTCAGTTCACTGACATACAATAGATTTCCATGCTGCAATGACCCACTGAGATGGCCAAGCCCATCATTAAAATTGAAGGAACTGTCTTATCTTCTTGACTGTTACTTTGCGCCAGGATAATTCTACTAGATGCAGTGGAGGGACTGAATTGAAAGAGGAAACATCAGCAAAGAGTGAATGGCACAAGAATTCATCAAGGACTGACTTTTGATTTAGATAAGCTCATAGAGAGGGGCTCTGCAACAACAAACAGTGCTTTTACATTAGAGACAGAACAGACTGGGGATATCCTTTAACTACTGTTGGGTCCTAACTAAGAATATTCTATTGTTCTGATCACTCATAGTTCAGAAAGATGAAAATGTATCCTAACAATGAACTAGAGCTAGAAGTGCTATTCACAAAGATGCCAGCAGGTGGGTTAATTATTCAAGAGGTACGACAATGCTAGCCCAAGAAGAAAGAGACATAAGTCAACCATAACATCTAGAATTAGGAGAATATACTAGAGCAGTAAGATGAGAGCATGAATACACTCCATCTTTTTAAGATAGAGCATGATCAATTAATCACTACTAGCATTGTCTGTTTCTGCAAGTTGCAGCAACACTACAGCCACTGCAGGGTTGTTTCCTAGGTTACTATGATACCCTGGATTCATGTTAATGTAAGGAAGAATCAATTCCTGGATGTAATGTATGAACTAATGGATAGGTACTATAATTTGCTTCAGTACCCATTACTCTTTTTCGTAGCATCTGTATTTCAACCTCTTTCAGGCACACAGATGAAACCAGCACTTTGAGTTAGGGAAGAATGAAGGGAACAGACTTGTTTTTCATTGATATTCTGAAGAATGTGGGAAATATAAGGCTGCACAGTTTAGGTCTAGTCTAGTACCTGGTCTTCAGCAAAGGCTTTAACATCTGCCACAGCATTCTCCTGGGGAAGCTGGCTGCAGCTGGAAAACTGTACAGAGGAAAAGGACCTGGGGATGCTGGTCAATACTCAACTGAGTGTGAGCCAGCAGTGTGCCCAGGTGGCCAAAAAGACCAATGGCATTCCTGGCTTGTATCAGGAATAGTTGCCAGCAGGAGCAAGGAGGCAATTGACCCTCTGTCCACAGCTCTGGTGAGGCCACATCTTGAGTACTGTGTTTAGTTTCAGGCCCCTCACTACAAGAAAGACATTGAGGCCCTGAAACACGTTCAGACAAAGGCAACAAAGTAGGTGAGGGGTCTGGAGAACAAGTCTTGTGGGGAGTGTCTGAGGGAGCTGGGATTTAGTCTGGAGACTATCAGGGGAGACCTCATAGGTCTCTACAAGTATCTGAAAACAGGTTGTGGCAAGGTGAGGGGTAGGACTGGAGGGAATGGCCCAAAGCTACACCAAAAGAGGTTCAGGCTGGATGTTAGGAAAAATTAATTAATGGAAAGAGTACTGGTGCACTGGCACAGGCTTCCCAGGGAGGTTGGTAGAGTCATTATTCCTGGAGGTTTTCAATAAACTTGTAGATGTGGTACTAGGGAATACGATTCAGTGGGTAGCATAGGTGGTAGGAAGGGCATTGGACTAAATGATCTTAGAAGGCTTTTCCAACTTTAATGATTCTATGATTTTTCCACTTTTGCTCAGGAAAAAAAAAAAAAACAACCCACACCCAAACTGACCCAATAGTTCATGAGGCTGCCTCACTTTGGAGGGAGAAGACAAAGCCTGAGGCACGTATTTTCATTTTTCCCCAAAACAAAGCTATATTTAATGCCATATGGATGAAAGAATGTAGTATAGATCTGGGCTGATTCTCTTCTTGATGCCAAAGCACAGAGCTTTTCTATCCAAACCACACCAGAATATCAGAACTCAGCTGCTGTGTAGGTCCTACAACTGCCATGCAGACTACAGTAGGTTCGACCGCTGTACTTTAGAGGTCTTTTCCACAAGCTATGATACCAACAAGAAAATGCTCCAAGTAGCTTTTATTTTGCAGTTAGCCTTTCGAAATGGATGGCTGTCATTTATAAATTAAATTTTTCAAGATATCCTTGCAAGATTAATGACTGAAATTCCATCCCTAAAATTGGAATCAGTCACTGCAAGTTTCACAATATTGAAGTGTTTATATTGAGATTTTAAGGCAGTGAGCTCCCACAGCAGCAATAGTGAGTACAATATATCAAAGAGATACATTTAAAGATGGCATGTCCAAGGCTACATAAAACAACAGTGACAAGAAACAGTTCATCTGCAGTTACTGGGCAATTTTAACTAGGTGCAAAAGATAAATCCACTGGATGAAGCAACTAGATCTCTGACATTTAAAATAATTTACTGCTGTGAAATAAAACTGTTGAAATAGGTAAACTAAATACTTTAAAGCGTTACCTGTATAAAGACTTAGTTAAATCATTTAAAAAGAATATTGCTTAAAACTATTTGGGAAAACAGACTATTGTCTGTTAAAAGGCTTAAATTAAAGGCTTGTGAATTCAGTGACAGTGCTCTGCAGTCAGCAAGATGGATTGTTACAGTGCATCTTCTGCCTTTCTGAACACTGGCTCCAGTTAAGCACAGCTGCAATAGACTCCTTAATTTTTCCATCTCTGTCAACCCTTCTTCAGTCAGCTCCACTGGGTATTTCTCTAATCTTACAGATTCTTGAGTGACTTTGGCTTCACTACTTGTGATGATCAGGGAAGAAATCATATGAAGAATCATTATGAAAGGCACCTGAAAGTGGAATTCATTCCTGAAAGTTGAAGCCCCAGCCAATAAAACAAATCACCAATTGAAGGACACATGCAGAACCCAATTCTTATTTCTCACTATGTAATATCACCTCCTCTACCAGCTATAAGACATTAAAGCCACCAGATTTATCTGGAACTGAAGTGTACAAATTCAATGTAATATCTGAACAAAGCAATGCTTTAATAAATGTAAACGTCACTTTTATAAAGAAAAAACAAAAGCAGCTAAAGTTCTGCTCTTCCTAACACTGTCTCACACTTACCCCTGAACATTTCATGATGTGACCGTGCCTTTCTTGATGCCAGACAGTGTTCAGCTGACCTCAAAATCTGCAAGCAAAAAAAAGGATTCAAATGAAATAATTTTCCCTGCAGAGGACAAATGCCTCGGATTATTACTATCAAGTATGTGAAGTCTTTCAGATATGACAGTGATCTAGTCATATTCATATCTAGTTAACCACTTTAGAGTTAGATATAAACAAATAATATTTCAGCCCTGCAGAACAGGCTGACCTCCCACAAGCCTCAAATTTAGTTCTTTTGCAGTTTGTCTCTGCTGGTATTATTAATAGACACACTAAAATGGGAACTTCACCCTGGCTCAGCTTTGACTCATTGAATGGCCTTGGGCATCACATAACCTCTGTCTCCAGTCCGCTATCTGCATAATGTGTTTGTCTATCTAGTGACTTTACAGAATTGTGGGAATATAAATGAGACATTTCACAGTTTTTAGGTTACAATACACTGACTTCCCTCATAACCTCGATGTATTTTTTATAATGTATCTCCTGAATTTTAACACAGACTTGTCTTTTCCATCAAGGCAACTAAACTGTTTAAGTAGAAGGAGGAATTATTTAAGACTTCCAAAATAAGCATCCTAAGATTAGTAACTTGAAGTAAAAGAAAGGAACCATAGCCATATAAAGCTTGGATTCTCACAGTCTCAAATATCTTTCTGTTGATGCTTTTAAATAAGTTCTTCACCATCCTAGGAAAAAGAAGAAAGCTTCATTTCCCAACTTCAGAAATAATAGGTAATGTGGTTAGTAAAATTTGTACCAAAAGGAAGAATCTGCTGGTTATTAATCTGGTAGTGAAAAAGAGTTGCATTATTTTGGAATCTGACCTGTTTCTGAGTGCAGGACAATCATATTCACTTCACTGCAGAGGATGTAAACCCTCAGCTGAGATCATAAAATAGCAGTTGAGTTATAAGCTTGGTTACATATTTTTTTTGTTCTCCACTGAAATTATTCTACACTGTGACTCCTCTGCTCTGAGTATGGTCCCTTCTGTCTCAGAAAAAGGCTCCTTCCCCTTAAGGAATGCCCTCAAGGGACTTTTAAGACATTGACACGCAATACTCAGATGTTCGTTAATTATTAATGTCAGCCTGAAGTAGATGCAAAAATATACACTCATCTGACATCAGTTCAAAACAGAAAGATGGAGCATCAAAAGTCGATTAGTTCAGCAGTGATTATTGCATCAGTGAATGCCAGAGATGATCTCCATGCAGCAGCTCTACAAGGCCCAGGCATTAGGCAGACTACTACTGCTCCAATGGGTGCAGCCACTGAACTTTGTCACGATGGTATTCTCTGTATGCTCATTCAGCCATCGTTATCTCATTTTTTTTCCCCATGACTTGGCTTCCTCATTGTTCGCATTATTCCAGTCCAAAAGAACAGACAGCAATGTAAAGCAGTACTTACAGGGTACACTGAGTATATATTGAATGGCACTGCCTTTAATTACTGGGCAGTGAATTGTTCTTCAAATTCAGGCCCTCTCAGTTATGTCATCCTGGAGCATGGTTCTCTAGACAGCACAGATCTCAGGGAATGGTAAATGCTATTCCATTTCTAATGATGTCACTGAAGTGCAGTGAGAAAAAACTGTATTACCCCAATCAGGCAACATGTAGATGCGTATGAATGCATAACAGATGCCTGGAATTGAATGTGCCTTGTCTGCCCATCCATAAGGAAAGAGAATTCAGAGCTTCAATCTAACTCCCAGCTTGTGTCCTTGTGAAGCTTGGCAACAGGACAAGAAACTCTAATGCTGATCTGATCCCTAATAATTACAGAAGTGTATGACATAACTACAGATGTTATATATAGTGTCTGAAAATGCTATTTTAAAAGACAGTTCAAATAAGAATGCAAAAATAACCAAGGTTGAATTCAGTGGCAATATTCCCATTGACTTCAATACGACATTTGCTTGTTCAGTGTAGTTGTAATTTTGGGTTAATGTCTTTCCAGACAAAAGGAAGGAGTTACACTAGCTTAAAAACTACTCTTAAATCCAAAGCAAATAGCTCTTAGGAGCTGAGAAAAGAGCATTTTTTCCACAAAACTATTTGCATTTGGATAGAACTTTAGATATAATGCCATTGAAGCGACTTGCCCATATAAAAAGTTCTTAAAAAAATGAAATTGAAAAGCCTCAGAGGCAGAGCAGCAAGAGGCAGTTCTGCAGTAATCTACATTACTCTTTGATATCCTGATAACCAGAAAGCAAGACTTGAAAGTTGCTCAGTGGTTGAGCAAGGTAAAGCATAACAATATGCAATCAAAAACAAGAATATACTCCACCCTACTGCAACACAAACAGTAACAGCAGCAAAGCCAGAGGGACAGTAATAGCCCACAGGCAAAATAAGAGTACTACAGCAGTTCCTGATCCTGGAAGAAATACTTATAGTTAGGGCTATTTTTATAATTGCAGTGATGATAAAGCATATATTTCAGTACTTTACCTTATTACTTTATTAGTGATGGATTTTGCCACAGAGCAACTCTGTGAAGGGGAAAAATGAAAACAACTGAAGCATATAAGTGGCCCATTATGTCTTCTGAGAAGAAACAGTGAATTATTTATGATTAATGTGATAAGCAAAACCACTAGGTCTGGAGCTTAGCTATAAATACATCTTTTGATGCAGTTATTGATTTACCATTTAATGATGGTTGGTTAAAGGATGAGGTTGCCCAGGCTCTGTATCCATTACCATTACAGGACAAGTGCCAAGGACTTGTGGATAATTGCTGCTCTTGACTTTGATGTATCGCATACATGCTGCACCCATACTTCAATGGCTGGTTAGGTGCGGGTGTGTTCTTCAACACCGACCAAAGGAGGCAGGTGAAATCCCTGAATCAGCACTTCATATTTGAAAACGTTTAAAGAAATAGGAGTTATACAAAAGTTCACAGCCTGAACGGTAGTTTTGGGAACTGCTAGGTTGCATTCAATAGCTATCAACTATTTTCATCCACTGTCACTACTGCTTCACGCAGAAAGCAAACAGCCTGAGCTCCACTGCCTAAACGGCACTGCGAGGTTCTGCCGCTAGAGCGCGTCGAGGCATGCGTGAAGATTAAGCCTCTCAGAACCCCGTCATTAAATTCAAACTACCACCAAGACATCGGACAAAGGCAAGCAGCACCAATGTACTGTTTTTAATTATTTCCTTCTTGACTGTTAGAACTTGCCTTAAAGGTTGTCCTATGGGAAGGTGCTCCCCTTTTGCTGGAAGGGGGTTTTGATATGAAAACTGAATAACACAGACATCCAGAAGTAGTCCTGCCAATTTTACGATGGATTACACCTGTGTTTTCAGTCCAGAAGTGAAATATCACTTCTATGCTAAGGCTTCTACTTTGGAGCCTCGTAATAACCCTGTTATTCTGTACTGGAAAACATACAACCAAGCAATGCTGCTGCTTGTTTCTCTCAGTGCTAGATGCGTGCTTGTTCACTTAGCAAAGGAAAACAGCAACAAAGCACATACCTATGCACAAACTGAAAATCTGCTGTTGTGCTGAGAATGCGGATGCTGCACTGCTTTAAATAAAGCAATGTGAAAAGAGCCTATAAAAGTCCCCCTCTCTTATAGTAAAAAAAAATAATAAAGAGAACAGTTAAAATTAGAAGTGCGTAGGCACAAAGCATTGCCAGGATCAAACAGAATATGTTCAAATGTACACATTTAGAAATGCTAAAAATCAGGTTCTGCCTCCATACTTTGCAGAATCAAGGCTTGGCCCCTTCTCCATCTGTAAAGCCGCACTGACAGCACACCTTTCCCCTCTCTTTTTGCTCATTTCTTGCCTCTTCACATCACAAACCCTTATTAGCTGTTTTGATCACACAAGCCAGGTCTTAGTGGTAGTTTTTCACCACCCATAGTGTCAACTCTGATCAAGATTTTAGCCCAAACTTATTGGCTATTCTTTAAAATACACCAAACAAGAAGAATAAAACCCCACCGTACGTGTAGAGAGGATACCCACAGGACACCATTCACATCTGTAACCCCATGCATCTCCAAGTGGGTTTCTGAATGGAGACAAACAGTGATTATTATCTCCCTTACTTCCCTTAGGAAAGGTCCTGCTACACCTTTCTTGGAAACGCTTTGGCCTTACAATCTTAGGAAAGGAAATACTCAAGAGACTCGCTAGGCCTGTCTGTCTCCTGTCACTGTGTTCTGGTGGCTGCTGCAGTATCCTCCTGCAGTGACATCTCTACCCCCAGTGGCAGAGCCCCTCATTAACCATTTTCTACAGTTAGAGTGTGAAGCCCAGAAAGTGAACTTGCTGCTTTTACAAAGAGGGAAGAACACCCAGGAGAAGGTATTTAAAATATATCCTGAGGCAGAATGAAATTGATTTATGCCAGGGATTATTTTTATCTTTCCTGTCAAGCAGCAGTTACGCAGCAAAGTTTGCTCAGACACAGACATGCAGCACTGGTTTGGGCCAGACAGACCCGACAGCACCTGAGAATGAAGGACACTGAGCAGCAGGCAGATGCCTGTCCTCCTGCAGCCCTTCCCCACAGCACCTGCAGGGAGGGGTCCCAGATCTCTGCTCAGGCAGGTGCCAGACCTACCTTACCTGCACCATGTGGGCAGCACAGAGCAGCCTTACGCTGCTGAAGAACTGCCAACAGGCAATTTCTGCAGGGGAGGGAACTGGGATCCTGCATCTACCTCACCACACCTGTCCCAACAGAGCAGAAAAATGGAAAGATGTGGAGGTCCCCATAGTGCGTTTGTTCTTCTCATATTGACAGTAAACTTCTTTGTGCGTTGAGAATCACTCACCTACGAGTATCTGGGATAGGCCTCCTTCCTTTTAAGGAAAATTCAGACCCAAGAAGGAATGCATTCTCCCAGCCCTGACACCTCAATCCAAAGCCTGCTATCATCAGCATTGATTTTGAAGAGTCTGCACCAAATCCTAACAAATCACTTCTGTAGAACAACAGGGGAAAAAAAAAGGAAAACAACCAAAAAAAGCTACCTC